CCGTTTATCAAATTCATTGCAAAATTTGCATCTGCTAAGGTTACATCTAAGGTCTCTATAAATCTGAAATTTGTCCTTGTACGGAATACTGTTGCCTTATCTGGGGCAGATCTTCTAGTTATACCTTTTCTCTTTTAGACAAGGCGCAATAAAGGATTGTAAACATAATTGGACCTGCTATTGCAGCCAACCTTTAACCATTATCACATCGTTGTAATGTTACTTCTCTTTCTCTTTTCTACAATTACTATAATGGGCACTGCTATAAAGAGCTAGCATCTCTTGTGCCATCTACTAAAGTTTATTCTCATATTTATCGTCATTCAATTAAGTCTCATCCTTTTTCTGTGACTGTTCCTAAGTGCTCCAAAAACTCTTATTTGTGTAGTTTTTTTCCTTGTAACATCAGTTTTTTGGAATTCGTTTCCTTCATCTTGCTTTCCTGATTTGTATAATTTGTAATCTTTTAAGTTGTCTGTTAATCGTTATCTTGCTCTACAAACTTCACCTCTGATAACGAAAATGTTTGAAACTTCTAACAGTGCTCACCTCTGATAAAGAAAAATTCCTGTATAAAATAGAAGATTAGTCAAGGAGATTAGAGATGAAATTGCAGCACAAGAAAAAGAATTGCTTGTAATACATCCATCATCATTATTGATGGTGTTCAGTCAATAAAGTTCATTAAGGTAATAGTAGTATCAACAGGTGCCGCTTATGTTATTTATTGTCAGCAGTAGTGTTTTTATTTAATCACATCATATATATTGTTCATTGTTATAACAACGTGTGTCAAATTGATAAGTGAACTGGTGTCTGCCTAATATATATTTTAGAGAAGTAGTAGTAGTGTATGTATATATTACACTACAGTATTAATCATATTTGTTTTATTATTAAGGAAAATTGCTGCAATATTAATCATCATGCTAAGTAAGTCTTGCAAAACTGCAATTTTGATAAGATTGGTTTGACAGATGCATTTAGTAGTCATTGAAATCTCGAACAGAAAAAAAGTCTGACAATAAAAACAAATACAACATAACTAATGATTCTATGATTTGTCACTAAAACAGTTATGCTTTAATGACTTATTACACAATCAAACTTTTTCCTTAGTGATTTATTACACAATAAATGTTCACAATGAAACCAAGCTCTTATTGAATGCTGAATATACACAAAATAGTATAGGTAGTTCATTGTAACATATTCAAACAGAACAGAAGTAAATGTGGAAGATCTGTCTCTAGAAATAATAAATCATGACCACAAAGAGGCTGATTAATCGTCATTTAATTAAGTCTCATCCTTTTTCTGTGACTGTTCCTAAGTGCTCCAAAAACTCTTATTTTTCTAGTTTTTTTCCTTGAACATCAGTTTTTTGGAATTCGCTTCCTTCATCTTATTTTTCTGATTCATATAATTTAAAACTCTAAAGTAAAGCTTCCCCTCCTTTGTCATTAATTTTCTTTATAGCATAGAAAGTTTTAATAGCAAATAGATCATTTGCAAAATGATCTATTTGCTCTGTTGTTGGAAATGGAGCATTTACAACAACAGAGCTTTTTAGGAACCAAAGCACATAAGAGCACATAAGATGAAAAAGCTGACTTTATTTCTCTCTTTCCTTACTCACCCTTAAGTTTTTGTTGTTTAATCATTATAAATTTCTTGGGTCATGTTCAGGGCTAAAATATGTATTTTCTTTTGCAAGAAATCTTGTTTTGTAGCATGCGGTTGGTTAATAGAATCTAAAGTCTGGAATACTAGAAAGCATCCAATAAGTTCACAACTATTCTTGGAAAGTCATTTCTTGGAAATATCTTGATTTTGTAGGCTCTGAAGCTAAAATCCAAAGACTCTTTAGCAATATCATAGAGAATAGAACCAACCTCAAATTTTTGAGTCTCCAAGTTAAATTTAGTGGTTTTTTCTCCCTTATTAATCTACTCACAGATATTAGACCATTATCTTTAAAGATGAGCTTTGAACTACACCTAACTCTTCCTTTGTATCATCATCATGTGATGATACAATAATAGCAATTCTTTCACAGATTTTGATAACATTTTTCTCACCTGAGAATAATTTTGTTTATTATCTACTATTTACTGAAAATGTTATATCAAAAAATTTATAAATATACACTTCAATTTGTCTGATAACAGTATTAAAAAATGCTTACAAAATCAAGTAATTTCAAAATGCTGCGGATTTTCTAGTATCAATATACTGATACTGATAAAAATCTGCAGTAATAATATTTCTATTATTTATAATATAAAAATAATAATAAAATTTTCTAGAATATCAAAAACCTTTCTTTTTTCTAAAATTCTTTTTACAAAAATAAAAAAAATTGCATACAGTAAAAGTTCGATTTTGATGTACAAAATACAAAGAAACAAAAACCTACAGAATAAATTTAATGTAATTTTATATAATTGCCAAAAATTAAAGCTCTAAAAACTGAGCATTTAATTTTAAAAACAAAAAAATTTAAAAAAATAAAAAAACAAAGAAGACTGCTAATAAGACTCTATGAAACCATAAATAGTTCATATGAAACCATAAAACTCTATGAAACCATAAATAATTCATATAATTATAATAAAGTTCTTCAAGTTTGTGATAACTTATATGTTTGGTAGAATTTTTGTTTTTTGAGTTTTTTACTTTTATGCTATTTCATTTTGTAAAAAAGAAATAGCAAACAAGATCATATATTATATGCAATTTGTGTTGCTTTGTTAATTATCCTGATTTTTTGTTCAATTTCTTATTAAAGAATTAACACAATTCCCTGTTAAAGATTTTGCACTCAGTGCAGTTTTGTAACAAAAAGATAAAAATAAAATAAAATAAAAAGTTCATAAAAATGTGTATGACTCTTTGGCTTATAAAGTGTAGTACATCTCTATCTACTGATATCTTCTCTCTATCTGCTGACCTCTTCTCTTTATCTGCTGATCTCTTCTCTCTGTCTGCTGACCTCTTCTCTCTATCTACTGAACTCTTCTCTCTATCTGCTTAACTCTTCTCTCTATCTGCTGACCTCTTCTCTCTATCTGATGACCTCTCTATCTGCTGACCTCTTTTCTCTATCTGCTGATCTCTTCTCTCCACTAACATAATATTTATCTGCCGCCAATGCAATAAATTCAATTCTTTCAGATTTTTGATTGTTTTAGAATTTAATATCATCTTTAGCAGCACTGGATTCTATCAGCAACGATATCCTTTTCAAAACTTTTAGTCAAGATATCAATGAGCTTGTAGGATCAACAAATTTTTTTTTCAAAATTTGACAGTTTCTCAGGACAGCTATCACAGTTAAAAGAAGGCATTTTCATCATATGTTTGTTTTGATTGTGAAGTTTTAAAACTTTCTGTTTAATTGAATGTACAACTATTACAAATTTTGAACCAAATCCTATTTTTTCTCAAACTTTTTCCAGTTCGGAAGCAAGGTAAGAACATTATTTACTTAAAGGTATACTAGATCATTGTTCTTATGTTTTAATTTGCACTTTATGTTGTCCGAAGAAGTTTTTTGTTTGTTGTTGCTCATACTAATAATAAACTGATAGTATCATAATGTCACCATTTTTAGGAAGTTGTCTGTTAGATAACTCTCTCAGCGGATATTTTAACAGATGAAGGAAACGTTTGTTGTTTTGTTTTTTTAATTTTTGATTCGTTGTCTTACTGTTTATCATTATCTTTCTGCTTGTTTTTACCATTTACCAACTAAAATGTAATTTTAGTTATTATACTTTCTAAATGATAAATTTAAATTAAGTATTTATACCTAATATTTTGTTTCTCTAAGCAGTATTTTAAAGCATTGAATAGGATATTATTGAAATCCATAAGGAAAAACAGTTGTAGTTACTAGTTGGTAACTGAGCTAAAGCAAAGTTTCAAAGAGACACAAGCTTACATTTAGTATTTTACGGGTGAGTTAACACTGTAACAGAGGTTTGCACAATGCTGTAATAGAGGTTTGCACAGCTAATGCTGTAACAGAGGTTTTCACAGAACATAAGCATACATGTAGTAAATTATATGTAAGCTAATACTGCACCAGTAGTTCAAATAGAACAAAAATATGCACATATAGTAAATTATGGGTGAGATAACACAGTAACTAACAATAATAATAATAATAATAATAATAATAATAATAATAATAATATTTGTTTGTAATATTGTAAACACATGTCTACTCAACATCTGCTCTACTTACCAACAATAAAAAAAAAGAAAAAGAGAAGTTAACTTATTAGCATTACATTATGATGTGATTTAAAAATCCTTTGAATACAATGTTCAATGGTTATAAATAAAAATAGAAAATAATTAAAGGTAAATTTTATATTAAAAAAATCTTCATAATTTTTTTACTGTTCACTATGTATATACTAAAGGAGGGGGAAGGGGGTAAAGGGGAGTAAGGCCCCCATACTTAATAGATTTAGAGGGGTGAGTGTCTATTGTGGACAGGTAAATGAAAGCATACAACTTAAGTTCCGTTCTTTTTCTATAAGAAGTTGTTATGTTGAAAACAGCTAAATATATCACTATCACTACTAATCATTGCAGAAACCTAAAACTCTTCTTCTTTAGAACTACGGGCCCTACAGAATGGGATTCTCAGCCTAATTATCCGGACACCCTATCTAAATCATTACAGTATATATAAATATATATATATATATATATATATATATATATATATATATATATATATATATATATATATATATATATATATATATATATATATATATATATATATATATATATAGGAGGGTGTCCAGATAATTAAAATAAAAAATTAAAATAAGAATTTGATGGTTGAATAAAGCCATTTTGCAATCATTTTATATTTATCTTGTTCAAAATTTTCTAAAAATACTAAATCTAAAAGTTTGTGATGTTTGTTCTTCTCATTTTGTTTAAAGTAAGTTTCTTTAAACTAAAGATTTTTATAGAGGATTCAGGAGGTCTTCAAACAATTGCTGCTATTCTTGGTGCTATTAGTCTTGGTATTTTTATTGGTTTATTAATTTGCTCTATCTTTTATAAACGTTGGTACAAACAACCTGGAGACGTGTTAGAAATTGCTAACCTTGTTTACAATGAAGCTACTCAAATTACATTACCAGATGCAATTCAAGCTGCAGCCCCTCCATCTTATACTAAAGGTAATTTTTTTTGTTTGCTCAATATTACTACAGAATTGGTATATTTTTATTTTTATTATATATATATATATATATATATATATATATATAATATATATATATATATATATATATATATATATATATATATATATATATCAGTTTATATAAAAACATTTAAATTAGTAATTGAATCTCCGAAGATGTTTCCTGCAGTTAAACGAGAAAATAGTTTTACTATCCACCATCTTGAAATACCTACAAGTAATCCTCCTCATTACTCAATGGATGACATAAATGACATCGACCATATTCCTCTACCTAGTTATGCAAGTGTGTCTGAAAGTGAAGAGGAGTGGTTTTCAACGCGCAGCTTGAATGAATCAAAAAGATATTCTTCGGATAATTTTAATCAAGATCCGCCATCTTATGAGAAAGTCAAGTCAGAAAGTTCTATTTTACCACCTATTTCAACAAACGCTAAAGTGAAAATTCATAGAAAATCTCGTTCAGTGCGCAATTCTGTATCAAGCATGGCGCTGGCTCGAGATGCTATCAAAAAAGCGGATTCGGAAAATAAAAAGCAAACAGGTGGTCACTATCGATCTAAAACAACATTTAAAAAAGCAGCTGACAGTAGATCTTTTATACTTTCAACTAACACTATAAGACACGGAGATGAAAGTACAATTATATCTTTAAAAACTGATGCATGTACTAATGTAAATCCTTCGGTTGAAGATGAAACAAACAATATTGAATTGTTCGAATAAATTTTTTCAAAGTAATATTAGATAGTGGACAGATACAAGTTTTTATTTAATATAGGTTTTTTTTTAGTTAAAATAAAATAATTTTTTACGTTTAAAAAATTTATTTTGGTAATTAATTTTTTGTACAAAATTCTGGTATTACCAACACTTAGTACATACCATACTAATCAAGATGGTTCTCTATACTACTAATCAAGATGGTTCTCTATACTATTATATTCACGCGTGTAACAAATTAGAATTGTGTTTTTTTTTTCTGACTTCAGTTACAATTTTTTTTTTACTTCTTTATAAATAATGAGAGAAAAAAAAATTGAGTTAATTTTGAAAAAATAATAATGCGTACGTACGCGTAAGGGGGTGGAGGTCTTCAAAAGCGTACAGGTTCGTACAAGAGGGGAGGGGAGTCCTAAATCAGTGATTTTACTGCGTACGGACTTTATGGATGTCCCCTAAGCAAAAAAAGTTAGCAAGTGCTCACATAAATGTGCTCACATATATAGTAGATAATATATATATATATATATATATATATATATATATATATATATATATATTATTTATATTTTCTGAAACGCATTTCTTTATTTCAATATTCTTTTGCATCTATTATATTTAAATATTACATGCGATATTATTAGTTTTATTCAATTATTGCAAGTATGATTACAAAAAGGTTGCAATCATGTTTGCAAATATTTAAATACTTTCAATAGGGTAGGGCAGGGCTAGTTGGGCAATTTTTACTCAAGAAACGGTACTTCGGATTATATTAATCCGATGTACCGTTCAAGAGATCTAACAGATCTCTTGAACGGTACATCGGAATAATATAATTTTTTCTCTATTTGAAAGATAATTTGATTTGCTAAAAAATGGTTGAGACAAAAAAACTTTTTTAGATTTGTTTTAGAAAATATAGCCTAAAGTTTATTTGGCTGCTCAACCTACCCCAGCGGGGTAAGTTGAGCGATTGTGTGGGGTTGGGTAGTTGAGCAATAAAAAAATGAATGCATTTCTGTGACAACTATTAACTCTGTTATAAAACCAAAACATAGCTTCTTTACTAATTAAATATATACTTTCAATTTTAACAAATTATTTAAAATATGAATATGAAAACTAATAATTACTAATAATTATAGCAGCCGTGGCGCAATAGTAGCGCACTTGTCTCAGAAACGTAAGAGCCGTGGTTCAAACCCACCTCTGGGCAAGTTTTGCAACATCGGTTGGGAAGGAGGCGTGAACTTCCTATTAAATGCTCTTCCGCGGTGCTCTGTGATAAGACCGTAAGAACTTCTTGGGGCACCTTAATCAACTTTAAAAAAATATATATATATAAGAATAATTTTGATATTAAAATAAAAACAAAACAAAACTTTTCAATGTTAAAACTAAACACAACACTTTTTTAAAACATTTTAAAACAAACCTTGTTGGTATTATGATAAAATAATAACTAAACACTTTATGTTAGTCTTCAATTTCCATTTTGCAGTAATACAAATATAATTTTGACCAGAATGTGAATCACATTTAAATGAGACCATTGATTGCAACCTTGACACCTTATCCAGTTTTCTTCTGGTAGATTTTCAGAATAAGTTTCCCAACATACAAGCATAATCGTGTTCTGCACTTGTCAACATACAAGCATAATCTGCACTTGTCTTTAATTTTTTTGTCATCTTAGTTTTTTTTTTGATTGTTTTTTAACTTTTTTTAATATACTAAGCAGCAGAGTCTCCTTATTACCATAATCTGCAAAGGATTGACAGGCAGAACTTTTTTTTGGTTTCTTTAAAATTTCTTTCTCAGTTTTTTGTTTGCTTGTTTCTTAACTTTTTTTAATATACTACGTCAATGATCCAAAAATACTCTCTTTTTCGGTGCCATAACACTGCAAATTTTCCATACTTATACCTTTCATCAAAAAATCATCTATTTTTTCACTACAAAAGATTCAATAACTTTTGATCCGCTCAACTTTAAAGGCTGAATGACCCCTCATTTTTTAAGTCAAGTCAAGCTCTATACAATGATATAAATTTTATATGCTTATTTGAATTATAAAAAAATCGTCTGGAATGGCTACCTATGTCAAACAATTCTTTTTCTAATGCCAAAAAATTATTTTCATGCAGCTTTTGTGTTTCCTTTTTTTTTTGAACGATATGATACTAGTTTCTTGTAATGATATATTAGTTTGGAAACATTTTCCCTAAAATAATTTAATAAATTTTCATTTGTCATTTGTCTGCTTAAATTTTTATATCAATAATTAATGTAATAATTATGTAAAAATCTATAAACATTATTTAAATCAATAGTTACCTAATACTTCTGCAACTAATGTTTGGTATATCACCCATAAGCCACGGTTTTCTAAGAGCAGAAACAACACATTTGGGCTGACATATTTTATCATTACATAGTAGCTCGTTATTTATATCTAGAGGGCAGAAAATAATTTCGGTATGTTTTTTATTTTTTTTTTTTGAAATTCAGTAATCTGCAGCAGTGACAAAAAGATCTTAAAACGTCGCCTTTTGTAGGCAAAGTTCTGTAACCAATTTCGTGGGTTTGTTCTAATAAAAATATTGTGTTGATATTGCCATTTTGAATTTAAAAAGTTACAAACGTAGCGCAGTTTCATAAAATTTATTATTGCGCGCTGTGATTACAACTCCGCATAGGTCCGGCGGTGCAAACTAAAAAAAAAAAATCTCTAAAAATGTAATAAATATGAAATACTGAAACTCCTAGGGATGACAGAGACTTTAAAATTTGTCAAACATTTTTTGAGGAAAAGTCTTTTATGACAACATAGAATAGGAAAATAAATTGGCAAAGTTGTAGTTTTTTCAACCCCTAAAAACAGACCTGCCTAATGCACACTATCATAATATTATTATAATAAACATAGTGAGCAAAAAATTTATTCATGTACTCTTCAACTTTAAGATTTTATTGACCAAGTAATTATTATATATTGAAGTAAAAGTATTTGTAAAATATTAAAAAATCAAATAATTTGAAACCATAATAAGATACTACCCGACTTATTATGAGCTAATCTTGAAAACAAAAACAATTACAGTTTTATTTTTATTCCTATTAGCCGGTTATCTAAAAAGGTGGAAAAGAGGATTTGTAAGTTGGTTAGTGGTGATGCCAATTTGCATATTTTGCAACCCTATTTTGTAACGGTTAAACTTGTCCTCAGTGGTATACCTAAAGTAAAAAACTTGCCAAATCCTCTTTAGATAACAGTTTACCAGTTAAAATTTTTTCTTTGAAAATGACTTTAAAAGACTAATAACTAAAAAGATAGCTGGTACCGACTTGTTAGCTTGTACCGTAAATTCCATAGTTTTGCACCTTGTTAATCACAGGATTATAACATCAGTAGCATCACATTTTGCACCTTGTTAATCACAGGATTATAAAATCAGTAGCATTACATTTTGCACCTTGTTAATCACAGGATTATAACATCAGTAGCATCACATTTTGCACCTTGTTAATCACAGAATAATAACATCAGCATCACTTTTTGCACCTTGTTAATCACAGGATTATAACATCATTTCTTCATAAACGACCAGTGTTATTTGATTGCACACCATGAAGTGTTGTTTGATTGCACACCATGAAGTGTTGTTTGGTTGCACACCAGGAAGTGTTATTTGATTGCACACCATGAAGTGTTATTTGATTGCACGCTATGGGCAAAGTATAACTGTTGATTTAAGTTAATCTCTCAATTTTTTTATCACACTTGCTTTATCAGTCATAATATCAACGAAATCATTTTACAAATCAAGCCTAAGATCTGTAAACTTTTGTTTTAATAGCTCGATACTAGGAGTGTTCAAAAAAATAAAATTTTCAAAACACGAATACACAAGAAACCAAATTTGGGGCAAATATAAAAAAAATACGATTAAAAAAATTTCAAAAATATTGACGTATACCTGGTGCTCAAGCGGCAAAATACCCCGAAAAAAGCCCAAATTGTTCCTAAATTATTTGGCTTTGAAGACAAAGTAAATCTCAATATTTTGAAAAATTTTTTTCTAATGTGATCAAAATGGTCCAAAATTTTTATTCTGGTTTTTTCATAATTATTGTTTAAAATTTAAAAAAATTTTGCATAATTTGTGCAAAAAGAAATAATTCTTTTTTTTTGCGTATTTGCACAAAATTATTTTTTTGCAAAATCTTTTTAAACAACAATTATGAAAAAACTTAGGATACACAACAATCTATAAAAAACTTAAGACCATTATGATCACATTAGAAAAAAATTTTTTACAAAGTATTGAGGTTTACCTTGCGCTCAAAGCCAAATTAATTAGAAACAACTTGGGTGTTTTTCGCCGCTTGAGCAAAGGTAAACGTCAATATTTTTGGAATTTTTTTTCGGAATTGTATTTGATTCATATTTGCCCCAAAATTTGCTCCTAATGTATTCGTGTTTTAAAAATTTTAGTTTTTTGAACACTTCTACTTGATACACTTACTTTTGAAGGGTTAATCCTGTTAGACAAATTAAATCTATGCTCCAGAATTGATAGTTTTCTGCATGTTGATAAATATTACGGTTAGGAAGTAATGTGTATTTATCAAAATAAAAAGTTCATTTTTAATAAATTCATATAATAAAATTAAACTCATCAATTTTTTACAAATGGTATCAAACTTTTTTTGACTGCGTAAACACAATTTGCGAGGTTAGAATTATTTTGTTCTTTTTCCACATTTTTGAATTTTGAGATGAAAAAATTTAAAAATAAAAACTTTAGGAGACGGCATATAAAAAGATTTTTATTACTTAGGTTTTCTTCACAACTTTTTTTGATTATAACTTAGATTTCAAGACAGTAGAAAAACATTATTTAAAGGTACATAACACAATCAATAACTCAAATTTTCAAAAAGTTGAGATACCCAGCTAACATAAAAAGTTCGAAAGCTAACATAAAAGGTTCGCGTAAGGTTCGCTGCGAACGTAACATAAACAAACTTTTGTGAACTCCGATTT